TGAGGTGAACTTGAGTGCAAAAGGGTACTGATAGCCTCGTGTCCATCCTCTCCGGGGAGTGGACAAGCGTATGGTTGAGGCGGATGCGGCGCCGGTGCACGATGACGAGGACCTGCAGCAGTGGGAGACTTGGGGTTGGCATAACGCCGAAGCCGCTGAGTCGAGGTCAAGTCTGCCAAAGCCGTACGGTGAAGCTGAGCAAGAGTCGGCTCAGCCTGGGTTGTTACCGCCGCTGAGCTGACTGGAGCCGCAGCCGAGTCTGCCAATGAAGTCGCCGAAGACGCTTGACTAGCTGAGGGAACCACACTAGGACCAATAATGGAACACGTCACTGGAGCATCTCGGCGAGGATGGACAATCAACTCCAACCGCCGAGTTTCACCAGCGGGGATGTTGAGAACCTCAGGAAAGCGAGACTCCAAGACACGACACAGCCGGGCGTTGAGGAGAAGGTCGGACGGATCAAGCCCAGGAACTTGCAAGCCACCGCCAGCAGCAGCAGCCATGTGAGGATCGTGCATCGGAATAATACCATTCCGACGGATGAGCCGCTTCTGTCGCAAGATCACAGCCCGCTGCTCAGCGATCACCGACTGAGCGTGCCGCAAGGGTTGAGTACCGGTGGAGCTGTACAACCGCACCGACTCCTGCAGCTGTTCGAAGTGCTTGGAAGCAATGCCCTGAAGAGTGACGAACGCCGCATCCCTCTCAGAAATGGATCGGAGAAGGACGTCGATCTCGGCGTCTCGATCCAAGACTTGCTGATGATGGAAGCGGGCCTGACCCAACGCAGCGTCAACTTTGCTCTGCTCAGCTGCGATGGCCCGAGCAAGTTTTGCCTCACTCAGAGCTACAGCCTTTCGCAGCGACGCGAGGAGATTAGCCGATTGCGTGGCAGCAGCCTCCAATCGAGACACTTGCTGTTGGGCCGACGAGAGCTGAGTTGACAAGTCGACATTGCTGAGAGCAAGCGAGTCCAGTCGCCGAGTCAGTGCCCGGTTCTCCTCCTGAACAGCTTGATTGTCAGCTTGGAGATCCCCGATGATCTTTGGATAATCAAGAGCGGCGTAGTTGCCTTTCAAGATATTCAACAGTTCCCCCGCGGAAGCAGCATGCAAAATCGCTCGCCGCTGCACGGGATCGGAGGGCTCCACGGAACGAGTAAATCCGTAAGCCATGAGCCTCGCCAAGAAGGTCAATTCTTCTCGGCGATCATGCCCTTGCTCGTTAATTCTGGCCATGAGGGAGTCAAGACTCACTGGAGCAGCCGAGCTTGGCTGATTGGTGGCGCCCGAAGTGGTGTCGCCCGGCAAGCTCGGTGGACCAGGAAGGCGCACGCGAGAAGACTCTGCCGACTCCGCGTCAGACTCATGGGAAGTTGTCAGGTCAACCAGCCCAGCTTCATGCCGGTCGCTGACCCCACGAGTACCGACGGGTCGAGGAATCGACTCAGCTGGCACGCCTTCACCTCGACGAGGAGTTGGAGAAGAAGGATGGTGCCACGGGTTGTGCTGGAACAACATGCGAAGAGTAAGAAGCTGCCAAGTGAGTGACAGCGGAAGCAACGAACGTACCAAAGAAGGTGGGGGGGAGCCGCGAGACGTCATCAGCCGAGTACGGACCAACGGTGGCAGAACAAAATGAAGGATTAAGACACTCACCAGCTCGGCTCGTATCATAACCGGGGCAGTTGTGGTGTAGGGATTTCCAGATTCGACCATACGCCGACCTACTTTAGGTCAAGAATCGGTTCGGTCTGATAACCCAGAGCTTAGGAGCCAAGGATCACGGTAAGTACTCGGCGATCTGTCCGGATATGCTATCCGGACAGCCGCTGAGCTCAACGGTCGCCGGAACTCAGCTGAAGGGTCGGTAGAGATCCGAAACGACTACATTTCATTAGATATTTGTATGAGAAGCATAGGATTAAACAGGGGGTGCCGAAAGGGCTCCCAGAAGATAACAGAGCAGAATTTTCCTAGTCCAAGACACGTGTACACTTTTCCGGTAAGTCCCTGCATAGGGCTGGATTATGCCTGCCGTCAATACTCGAGAGGCATAGCTTGTAGGGTATTGACTGGTAGCGCCAAGAGATTAGGTCGGTCCGGGTAGGACAAAGTCTCGCTACGCGCGAAAGAAAGTCCCGCATACTCAGCGGGCCGGTACGTCGGATAGCCCGGGTGCCGTAACACTTCTAGCTGAGCTGCCTCTGCGCTCGGTGACCTGTAAAAGCGCTCGCGCGCCGTCGTCCATCCTTTGGTGGAGGGCACAGGGTTGTGAACGAGCTCAGCCGAACCAAACTCGGCGGAGCCTCGGAAGTGATCTGACTTGGTTAGTCGGAACCGGGTGGAAGCGAGCCACTCGTCTGTCCCGGAAGGGCCGGACCGCGAGGGGACCACCCTCTGCGCAGGCCATACAAACCGCCGACCTAACTCGGCGATTCGTTGTGGTTTGTGTAAGGAATCCACATCTGACGATAATTGTGTGTTCTACTACACCACACTCCTATCCTGGCCTATCCGGACGGCCGGAGACGATTCAAGTTGTTTGTGGACTCCTCCCGGTACGCCGTCGGTGCTTGTCTGATGCAGGAAGTTGATGGCCGTGACCGTGTAGTGGCTTACACCAGCAAGTTGTTGACCGGTTCGCAGAAGAATTGGATTAACAACCAGGATGGGATTTCGGAGATTGAGTGCTGGGGCGTCGTCTGGGCGACGCGTAAGTTTCGGAGTTATCTCGACAAGCGCGAGTTCGACGTGTACACGGACCACCAAGCGCTAACGTGGGTCTTCAGTCCCGGCAATCGGACTTCGAACGCTAAACTGGCCCGGTGGGCCATGGAGCTGTCGAGTCTGCAGTTCAAGGTACACCATAAGCCCGGTACGGCAATGGGGCATGTGGACGGTCTCTCTCGGCTACCAGTGGGCATGGTGGCGGCGCTGACTATGAACGATATACTGAATCCGGACGACGACGACGTGGGTCCGTCTTCAGTCGGGGAGCATTCGAGTCCCGAGGCGGACGAAGAAGTGGAATACGCCGACAGAGCTGCTGGCGACCCGGCCGATGGGCACGTTGACGACCCTGGGCCGGTTGGATTACGCGAGGATCCTGTCAGAGATGAAGTCGGACCGGTCACCCCGTCACCCGTCGACCAGTTTAGCCTTGATCGTGAACAGTTCGTGAGTGAACAGTTAGAGGTGCCGTGGATCAAGGCGCTGGTGGCCTTCTTGCTGGACGGAGCGTTGCCGCTGGATCCGTACCTGCGAGCGCGAGTGGTGCGGATGGGACCCAGGTACTCCGTCCAAGAAGGGATGCTCTTGCGTCGCGTAAACTTGCCGGCTCGAGCCGGCCCTGCTCGCTCGGACTCAGTCCCCGTCGTGCCCTTGACATACGTGGAAACGGTGCTGCATTTCTGTCACAAGGACGTGCTGTCGTCTCACATGGGACTGACGAAGACGACGGAGAAGGTTAGACGGCATGCCTTTTAACCAGGCTGGACGAAAGATGTTGAAGAGTACGTCCGCACCTGCAGCGAGTGTGGCGGCGGGAAAGGACCGCGACCGTGGCGTTCTGGACTCATGCAGCGCATGCCGGTGGCTGACCTGACTGGTCCGTTTTCACTGCTAGTGGTCGATGCTATAGGACCTTTGCCCTTGACTGGGAGAGGTCACCGGTACATCCACGCGTTCGTAGATTACTTCACGCGGTGGGCGGAAGCCTTTGCAGTAGAACGTTTGGATGCGGTAACTTTCGTGGATACTATGGTGAACGGAGTGGTTGCTCGGCACGGAGTGCCGTCGCGACTGTTGAGCGACAACGGGTCGAACTTCACGTCTAAGGTGGCCAAGTCATTCTATCAGACTTTGGGGATCAAGAAGCTGTTTGGGTCAGCGTACCATCCTCAAACGCAAGGTCTAGTCGAACGGTTTAATGGTACTTTGATTGGGATGCTACGGATGCATGTGAGCGAAGCTCAGACGGACTGGGACCTCTACCTGCAACGGGTGTTGTTTGCGTACAGGACGTCGTATCACGAGGCTCTCGGTGACACTCCTTTCTTCTCACTATACGGACGTGACCCGGCGTTGCCGCTGGATGTGGCATTCCTGAACTTGGGCACCAAGTGGAAGAGCAACGAAGTGGCCCAATATAGGCGTGAGCTGTTCCGATCCTTGCGCGACTCCAGACACCTCGTGGAGCGACAGTTGCTGAAGGCGCAGGACCGCCATGAAAAGAGACTGGACCGTCAAGTCGCTGTGGAGTTTGCAGTAGGTGACCCGGTCTGGGTATATCAGGTGTTCAGGACCAAGCGAGGAGAAGTGCGGACGAAGAAATTGTCGTTCTCATGGCACGGGCCTTACCGAGTAGTTGAGAAGGTGGGAGACAACACTTACAGGATTGCGATACCCTCGCACCCCGACCGAGTCGTGCCTGTGAACGTCAACCGACTCAAGAAGTTCCGAGGACGGTGGACTCGGCCCTTCATGGATGAAGTGCCCGAGGGCTTGGAGGGGAACGGTGACGAGATCGAAGACGGTCCGCTGGACGAGGCTGATCTGCCTGCTTCCAGTTTCTCGGCGAGGTTGACCGTCGGAATGGGGGACACTGCGCTGACAGGAGTCACTGCTCCTCTACTGGAGGTGGTGGCCAAACGTGTGGTTAACCGTGGCATCGAGTATTTGGCGCTGGCCGCTAACGTTGAGACGTTCTGGTTGCCGAGGGCGGCGCTGTCGCCTGAGTACGAGTCGCTGATCTCGGCTTCAGAACAAGACGAACGGAAGAAGCAGCGGTTACCCGAGTTAAGACGGAGGTCTCGCCTGGCGGATGCGAACGCGGAGGTCGGTGATGACGATTTACTGATGGAGTAGCCTATGTCCGTGAATAAGTGTCTGAGGTGTCAGGGTTGGATGAATTTCGATAAGTGGATTGGGTACCAGGACTCTTACGCGGACGGACCAGGTGTGGAGTTTATATTACATGTTTATATTTGGAAAAGAGAAACGATGGAACGAACTGACAAAGGGAACAAAAGAAAGATTAACGAAAGCAAGAGTATTAGGGAAGGGATTTCGAGTACGAACGGGAGGCACTACGCTACGATACGACGCTGAGCGCGGGTTGGCGGTAGTTACTTGGTCTTCTTGGTGGCCGCAGCGGCCTTCTTAGCCTCCCCGTCGCCCGAAGACTTCTTGGAGGACGTCACGCCCGAACCGTGGCTGCGGTCAACCGAAAACGCGTCGCTGTTGGACTTGGAGGTGGCCTTGCTCTCCGTGATCTCGCCGTCTTCCGCTTCCTCTTCATCGCCGGCTGCCTCTTCGCGGTCTTCGACCTCTTCTTCGTCGTCTTCGGCGTCCTCGGCGGCGTCGTCGGCTTCGTCGACCTTGTCTTCCTCGTCCTCGTCGCCGTCGGAGCCGGAAACCGTGAGCGAGGGCCGGGCTGGAAGAGGCGCAGAAGGAGGCAAGGCCGAATAGCTGTCGTCGTCTTCGCCTTCGAAGTCGGAGTCGTCGTCCCCTCGCTCGGTCACGTCGTAAGGCTTGACGTCGTCCAGCGCTTCGTACGTACCGTCCAATTGCTGCTGCACAATGTTGGTCTGCACCTCGCGGAGCGACCAATCCGAGAGGAGCCGCTTCCAAACGCCGCTAGTCTTGTTACCAACCCAAGCAGGGTTGGGAGGCGACCGGCTGGCAACGTCCATGGCGATGCGGCCCAGAGCGACGTCCGAGAGGCGGAGGTGGGGCTTCCGAGTGATGTCCAACGCCTGGGTCTGCTGCAGCAGCTCCGGAACGGAACTGTAGCCGTCTTCGTCGATGGAGAACGGATCGAGAGCGCGGGCGATGGTCCGGTCGTAGAGAGCCCTATCCTTCTTGTAGAGCGTCGCCAGGTCGACTTGGGCGGCTTGAGTCTTGGCCGCTACCGAGTGAGCGGCCGCCTTGCCCCCGTACCACATCAGGGTGTCGTGGGCCTTGTCCTCCAGCTGGGCCAGGAAGCTGTAGTAGCCGAACACCTCGATGTTCGCGCTGATGGACCGCAAACGGACCTGCAAGGCGACGGACTTCTTCTTGCGGCGTGCGTCGGAGTTGCCGGTGGGTGCGTAGAGGGCGCAGATGAAGAACGTAGCGCGGTGCTTCATCCAAAAGCGCCAGTGCAGAAGATGAAGCAGCGGGTGCTCTTGCGGGTCGTACCAGGTTCGCTGCCCGGACCACGGATACGCCAGCCGGAACGGAGTCTTCCCTCGTCTTGCCGCCTCCTTGATAAGGCGATCCACGTCACGACGGATCGTGGCCGGCACGTCGTCGGGGAGCTCGAGGGAATACTTCAGGGAGTTCGCGGTGGTGCGTCGCTTCTTGGCCGGACGCTTCGACTGGGCCTTGTTGCGCGGGGCAGGACGCTTGATGGTCGTGTCGGGCTCCGGCGCAAAGAGAGCATGAGTCGGGGGCTGTCCGTCTTCGAAGGAGCCGGGCGGCGGCAACAGCGTCACGACCTTCGTCAGCGAGGCCGGTAGGGAGTCGTCATCCGCGATAAGGGCGAGGACGTCGACTGCCTGCAGCCCCGAGGAGGCCTCGTTGACGGCCAGGTGATCTCGGAGCTCGGCGTAGAAGTCCACTTGGGCGCGCAGGACATTGGCCTCCTCCGACGGCTTGCCCTTGCTGTCGAGGCGGGCGCGGAGACGGTGGACGACGACATCCTTGCTGGATTCCTTTGTCTTGGCCATGGTTGAAGGCGGGAAGAGCTGCGGCGGCGTGAGGAGAAGGAAACGAATGCGGAAAGGCGAGAAAGTCTGGATCTTACCGCTAGGCTGATGGTTCTTGACCTAGTCAGGGACCGTCAATGGTTCAGTGATACGCCAGATGCGCTGGTGGGGGAGACGGTTTGTCCACCGTGATCGACGGTTTGTGACGAGGGCCCGGCACGGTCCCAGATCCGACTACGATGGATTGTGGGTTACGGCGTGGACTCGCCCCAGCGCCGAGAAGTGACGGTGATGGATCTCTTTTAACGATGACTGATGGCGTCTGCCTATCTGGACCGGCCTAGCGCTGGTACGCACGACTACTCAAAGATCGGACTCCCTGCGTTCGGGGCTGCGCTACGATGATTGAGTTGCTCGCTGAGGCTACGGAGTGGTGCGTCTGGCTTGCCGGGATCTGCTGGGCGTTTGGGTGGAGCGTCGTGCGTCATCCGTGGACAGAGATGGCGTGGGCGGCAGCCGTCCGCCAGTGGTCTGGATTGCTCTGGGCCCTGAGCGGCGCCGTCGGCTGGATGATCACCAAGCCGTTGTGGTGTGTGGTGGGGCGGATCGTCGGCGCTGTATTGGAATTTGTGATCAAGTGGACCGGGCTGTGTAAGACTTGCATCCGGCGCTACCGGATCTTCGCCGACTACGTGAGGATTGCGGAAAGGACTCCGGCAGTGCGTCGCTGGAAGCTGTACGAGGCGTTGTTCCAGACGCCGATGGTGGTGCTAGAGGACGAGGCGGAAAGCGAGGACGGGTTGGAACGTCTTGCCCACCGCTGGCTGGAGGCCTATCACGCCTTGTGGTGCGTGTTCCTACCCGACGTGCTCGAGTTGAGCTGCAAGTCTACAGTGAAGTATTGGATTGGCTCCAGCGCGGAGTGTCACCGAGCAATGGACCGTGCGTGCTGTGTTTTCCGCGCTTTCGCGTCACTAATGGGATTGTTTGCCTACGCCGGCCTGTGCACGGCCGTCTACATGTACGAGTTTGTGGAATGGATTCTCTATGGAAGCTGCGGCGTCGGGGCGCTACTACTGCTGGGGAACTACGTACTGGCGGAGGGGCATTTGGGTGTCGACGGCGGATTCGTCTAGAACGACGATGTGGTGCTTGCCAGTGGTTTGACCGTCTTGCTAATCGTTACTAGTCGCCTACTGCGGTGGGGAGAGGCCTCCAAGGGCCGACGCACGCCTAAGCAAGTCGCTGAGGACATATACGCCCGGTGGACGAAGGACCTTGAGGAGCAGGAGCAGGCCGAGCGCCTTAGCGAAGCGTTCTGGAAGGCCGACGGCTGTGTGGGTCCCAAGCCAAAGGTGCGTCCGCTGAGCGAAGTGCGGGTGCGCCGAGATGCTCACCGTGCCCGGAAAGCTGATCAAGGCCCTACGGGTGCTCGACGAGGGCGTCAAGCTTAAGTCGGGGAGGGTGTCACGAGTGGTTCTGGCGGCCACCGTCTTGGGCACGGTGAGTTCCGTTACCCTCCTCCGCACTTTTCGACGGCTGAACAGATTCGTGTGAGCCACGCTTTCGATGAAGCCATGCAGGGCCACGACGGGGTCGCTGAGAAGTTGTGGGCCGGTCTCGGTCTCCGTGGGACAAGCGCGGCTAGAGCGTACGGTCCCCGTGGATGACGAGGACGGAAGTCATGGGGGACCGGAGCTACTGAAGGACAGTGTATCTTCGCGGTGAGGCGGTGGGGTGAGCGGTACCGCCTCGCTGTCGTGGTGTACAAAATCGTGAACGATGATTGCGAAAAGGTGCCTGACGGCGGGAACGAGGACCATGGAGGACGAAGTGCGGGCCGCAAGGAAGACGGAAAGAGGTCAGTCGTGAATTTTCCTTGAAGACAACAAGCAGAAAAGAATTTGTGTTGACATTTGTCTTTAGCTTGTTGCTTCTGTTTATATCTCCGTACTGTTCTACTTCTATACAGCGTCGACCGTCCCATCCAAGGACGGCAGCACTTTTAAAAAATCATTGCTTTCGTCTTCTCGAGCGCAAGCCTCGGATCAACTTCGGCAACTAGTTAGACCTAGCAATGGATGACCCCACCGCCCGCATTCGCTACAGCTTCACTATCAATGAGCCCCACTATTTGGCTATCTACCACAGCCTCTCCTACACGTAGTGTTGGGCAAATACAATTATGCCCTTCTGGCATTTTTTGCATGTTATGGTATAATATGGCATCCGATGCAGATGTGCACCGAAATTAGAAAAATGGCTATTTATACAAGGCCAATGCGTATAAACACGAAATTATGATGACCCGATAGCGAAGTGGGCACAGCGCGAGTGGCTCTGCTCGCTGTCTGACCAGAACAATGCTTATAACCACGAGCGCTGGACGATGTCAATCCGGAGGATGTGAAGTGCGCAAAGTGCGTAGACGTGACCATGGAACAATTTGGTAAATGGCCTCGCAAACTCAACGAAGCTCGTGGATGATAAGACTTTCTGGAAACGGCTTAGACAGGTGACGACCCTGACTAAACCGCTCATCGACGCAATTGCAGCACTTGAACGTGGCCAGTGTTGTATATCGATGAATCATTACCAGTTCGCATCAATCCTGTGTACACATCGGCTCAAGAGGGAATCCCTGCGCATCCAGAGCGGAATTCAGGCTTCTATCAAAAACAAGTGGAACTTCCTTCATACGTAGACAATGGGGATCGATTTCTTGCTTGACCATACTAAGAAAACCACCGACTTCATGGACGCCGACTTAGCTGACAGAATTTCGGCCCTGGGGTCTCTCAGTGCTAGGTTTGGTATTGCAACGACGGAAGCTCAGAAAGCTCAAATTGGCGATGAGGCAAACTCCTACCAGACCTTGAAGCACCGCTGGCCATCTAAAACGCGAAGCCAACAAGCTGATGTCGCTCCGTTGCTATGGTACATGGATATAGAAAAGAAACACTCAACGAAATACCCATTGCTTGCACAGCTAGCTTACCGTACCTACACTATCATGACTTCTTCCGCTACCAGCGAGAGGTCATGGAGTATCCATGACTTTATTCACACAAAAAAAGAAGCCGGCTGGACGCAGCAAGAGTGGCGAAGTTGTTGTTTATTTACGCCAACGCAGGTGACAAGGATGCGAAGACCAGCGTTCTTTACAATAAAGGACGTGAAAGCGAGGGCGGTGACAGTGATGTGGCAGAAGACGACAAAGACGGGAGTAACGACGAGTCTATGGAAGGCAGCAGCGACGACTTTAGCCCTCGCAGTATGAGCATGCACGACGACTTCAACGCGTTTTCGTATGAATGTAGCCAGGAGCAGAAGGAGTCAACTTAACTCAAAGCCAATTTTTAGTTTTTATTGTGATGCAAAATTATGCATTCATCATCTGCCATCGATGCCATATTATGGCATCGATGCATGCATTTGCCCAACACTACCTAGACGTATCGGTAGGCGACACATTCCCCAGCGTCGAGGCGCTCGCAATGGTGTATTGCCGCTTATCCGAGCCGTCCAAGCTGTTCACTGTAGCCAATGCGTTTGGATGTTCAACTGCTGCCTATAGCCGCATCTGCAAGGAGGCTGCCGCAATTCTCTATAGGTACGCAACCAGGCTGTATTTTACTCGCGTCGTCGTCAACAGTTGTCTCGAAAATTATTGCGAAGCGATCGCAGCGAAAGGGGCCCCACTTAGTGCACACAGCTGTCCAGCCCCCCCCTTACGAGAAACTATAGCGTTACGTATAGCGGCCACCCTCGTCGCCATTGCCTTAATTGGCAGGCGATAGCACTGGATGGTCTTTTCGCTAGTGGTTTTGGGTCTGTTGAAGGAAGGCGCCACGACTCGACTATACTAAGTATGAGCGGGTTGCTGAATGTATTAGAAAACGACATGACCTTTCGTGGCAAAATGAAAAAAAAAAAAAATCCGGGATTAAGTGGCAAAAAGGCCACCAGGGTTCAACGTCGTGGCCGTTTGGGCCCGAAAAACAACGCGGGAGCCGCTAAATGGAATTCAATCCCCAAAGAGAAAGGGTTCGCGAAAACCCAAAAAAGAAGTTTTGGTCCCAAGAAAAAAATGTGCGTTCCTTGTTTAACTCGGAAAAAAGATGTAAATGCCCCAACGCTATTAGAAAGCTTTATGGATACAGCTTGCTATCCAATGCCACACATGTATGCAGCCGCTAGAAGACAAATTCGATGTACTTCGGTATGAATCGCCATCACAGAACTTATCTCACTAGCTAGCTTACAAGCTGATAAAACAGTTTTAATCTAGTTCCCATTGCAATTTGCAAAGCTTAAGCATAAACACTGGGCTCGAGCGGTCACGCCGCTGCTCAGCTTCTTCGGGACGTGCGTCTCTATCCTGTTCCGCAGCCATGCATTTTTCTTCAAATTTAATCGTATTGGCCGTTACGTAGATACTCTAGTATTTACAATTGCACAGTAAAACCGTAAAACTACACTATTGTATTCCTTCTACGTGCCGTCAATGCGGTATAAGCTACTATAGTTTTTTCGGAATTTTTAATTACTCTGACCTCCATTTCTTTCTCTAACTTTCAAAGCTTTTTCGGGCGAAGCACGACTTTGATTATTATAGCAAGTGCTGTTGCTTATGATATCAAAAACCTTTTACAAATATCAAATTGAATGCGAGACAGGTATTATAGTACATTATTGCGACGATCTTGCAAATTGCCCAGTTTGATTTTAACAGCGCTACATAGTCACTCCGAGCAAAAATTAATGAATGAGCTACGAGTGTCATGATTTGTCTTATACCAATAGTAACACGCTGGATTCGAACAGGACTAGCCTCAGGGCGGGAATACTTAGCAGCAAGTTTGATCACGATTTCAATATAGTATTGTTGGAGGACAGTGTAAACTGGAGTGATATTTCTTACAGTGATAATCGCTGCCTTTTTAGTTTGTAACAAAGCCATAATAGATAAATCAATCATTCAATTTTCACAGCAGTTTACAGTTAAACTTTTTTCTCAC